ATGCAAGACAAAAAAAACCTGCAGATAAGTATTCACTTTGCAGTCAGCTGAGACAGTTGGCAACATTAAGATCCTCATTCCCACCTGTCTGTTACCTCTCCTCTGGGAGATGGATGCAGCTGGAGAAAGGGGATTTTACAGAAAGGGGCTGTAATCCATGTCACTGCAGTCAGCCAGGTTTGGTCCTGAAGCTGGCTGATTTTGCCATCAGCAGACATGGGAACACTCGTATAATCTCTTGCTTTGGAAGAGTTGTGGGGACAGTAACATCTAGCTTCTGGGCAGTGATGAGCAGCTGGGAACAGTAATATTTTCAGCAGGCTCAGCTGGAACCTGGAGAAAGCACCTGCCCACTGTTTCAATGACAGGTGGCAAGGAAAAACAGTGTGTGTTGTGAAGTGCATAGGCAAAGTAAATCCTATTTCTGTGACAAAAAGTTTACTCATCTCTGCTTTTAAGGCTTTTTTAGCTTCCTTATTTAGTAAGTGTCCAGAGATGACATCACGAAACAAAACAGGATGAACTTTACAAAGGGATATAAGATAGAGTAATATTTTCTTGCTAGTATTTTAAAATAGCACACTAATAATCCAGTCATACAACAACAGATAACACATCACTTATACCAAGAAGCCTGCTTTAGGGGTGTTGTTTTTTTTTTTTCTGCCAGCATTTTGTGCCAGCCAGCACCACTTCAAACAACAGCACTGCTGAGTCCTTTCATTCATCCCACTGACAGATTAAATTATTTTCTGGTGTTTCATAGCACATCTCAATCCCCATCAGACTATACCATATTTTGCCTCTAAAATCATCCCTCCTCTGAATAAATTTCAAATTCTACATCCAGATACATAAGCTCTCTCATTTTCATGACTGACATGTCCTTTTTATCTTTTCCTTAAATGCATGTTTCTGTGTTTGTAACCATCTGACTGCACTCTTCTGTCCACCTTTTAGCCTATCCTTTGAAGAGAATATACACCCTTTGATGGGCATATACTGTCCTTACACATCACCTGGCTTTCATTTGTGTTGCCCCTCATCCCTTGGTTTACAGTGTACCTTCCACCACTCTCCATTGGTGCTGGAGGCAGTTGGAAGGTGTCTCTATCACTACCACACACACACCTACTGTTTGGACAAAAACAGTCTGATGAACAGTATCTGCTCTCAACAAGAGACCCAGAAAGACTACTGAAATACTCTATCTATAAAGTACAAATAATGCAGAATTCAAAAGGAGGGTGACAAAATGTTATTGCCTAGTGAAATGCCAGAGACCAAGTTACTCTTGCAGCCCTTCTTTAGATTACCACACCTCAGAATACTATTTCCTACTGCCACTTGAAATATCTAGCTTCACTGGAACCTTGCCTGAGTTTCATGTTATATCTCCTAGCACAGACTGGAGCCAGTCATCCAAAACCCTCCTCATCCTTCAGCCTCTGTTGTTGTGGTTTTGTCTGCTTCTTCAAAGTCCCCTGAGGTTACATATGCAACAAGCGCTCTTGAAGCAATACAATTTCCACATTTGCATAGGAAAATAGCTACATTTGACTTTCATCTTCACCTATCTCCTCAAATCATATTAATGCAGTCTCCTTACAAAAAAGAACTATAAGAATGACAATGTGTATTTCTCCAAAAGCTGTTTTTAACTACATTAATTACACTTCAGTCCACCCATCTGGTTTGGGCTTTACCCAAGTGTCATCCCTGTTTGGCAAAGGGAGGAACAAAGGTGTTGAAAATTTCACTGACTTACATAAACAGTTGCCAACAGAGAGACATTAGTGACATAGATATTCTGACTTCTGTTCTGCTGCTCTGACCAGCAGAGGAGTAATTTTCTTCTCAACATATTTTGACATAATAATATCTGCTGTTGGCTAGAAAGTGCTGGCAGATGTTCACATGCAGCAACACTAACATTTTTGAAGGCTTCCTCCTGTTTTCTATTAATAATTGTATCTTCTCACAAGCAACACTGGAACATTTTACAATTACTTTGCAACTCACATTTCCAGAAAAAGAAGTCCCTGCAGCTAACCAGACACAGATTACAGTGGCATTCTGTTGCTACCATTCATGACAACCAAGGAGCACCAGACACCTAAAAAGCTTTAGAATCCAGCACCTAAATCTGCTGAAGTCAAGTACACACACACACAAAAAAAGTCCAAGTAACAGCAGATTTCAAATGGCTAACATTATTTCTAAATCACGGCGTGACACAAGACTGTATTAGCATAATCTAAATTATCTGGACTGGACAGTGGCAGACTAAAACTACGTTTAAGCAGTAACTGATTACTGTCTTACATGACCTAGAAATACAAGTACTTTTGAAAAGTCACTTACACAAGGGAGAATTTGCCAGAACAGCCAATCAGATGCTAAACCTCTATATTGAAAATTGATGCTACATCTAATTAAGCAGTCAAAACTGATTTTTTGCCTAGAAACTGAAGAGACTATTCTGCTTTAACTATATATAATTTTCCTATCATACATCTTTAATTGTCTATTACCTGTTGGCAGTTCAACATGCCACATTCATAATTTCCTTCTAAAACAGAACAGCATTTAGGACGTCTCAATGGTTTAAGCTTATGGCTTTACATCAGTTGAAAATGAGGTCTATCAAAAATGCAACATACTAAAGTGTTGTAAATACGTATATGATACAAGAAAAGATTTGCTATCTGAAGAAACCAAGAGGCAAAGGATGGATCACAAGTCAGAGCTTCCAGACTAAGTTCACAGATCATTTAAAGTAACTTACATCATTCTCACAAAATCTTTTCTGTCTAGGACTAAGGCTTCAGCTGGAATAAGGAAAAATACACACAGACAAACCAAATTTCAAAGCAACACACACACGTATTTGAAATTCACATACTTCAAATACATACATTAAAAGGTACACATTGCAGCAATGTTCCTAAAGTGTGAGTTCTAAGAGCAGAACAAAAATTACTAAGTGGACCCAGTGGTCTGATCAAGGAAGGAAATTTCTCTATTTCTAAATGCAAGCTCAAAAATTAAAATCTCTCTGCTCAGTAAGGACTCCATTTACCATAAGCAAATCAGTAGTCATCTTATGCAGTAGCAGGGAAAATTATCTCCAGTCCTGCAGGGCATTAAAGACTTCCTAAGGGACACTGAGTGACTTCAACCACCATTTAGAAACAAGTGTTTTCATCCTTGTTATTCCTCCAACTGTTCTCAACAAAATAAAAAGACTTCTGGGAAAATTTAAAACTCCTGTCTTCTTTTGTTACAAATAAACTGCTAACCCATTTGGGAACTATGTACACTTGCAATTGCAAAGAATGAGGGCAAAACTTGAAAAAAAGTAATTCTTTAGTAACCCAGTAATATTTCCCAGTGTCCTGACACTGGGAAAATATGCCAGCAAGTCTTATTCTTCCAAACCTCAAATCCTGCTACCACTGAAGACAAAGTGAGGTTTAACTTTCCCCCACTCCCTCACTATAGCACAATGGGGCTTCAACTCAGAACCATGCCTTAAAAATTACACCTGTTTTAGGACACGACACCAATCCCACTGGCACACAAATGTATTAACATGCTAAGCAGTCACCCCCTTCACAGAGGTCTCTGCTCTGCAGCCACAATGTTCACATCACAGACATTTAAAGCCAGCATGTGCCAGTGTTTCTTAGCGCATATGCCCATGTGTCTCCACATTCATGTCCATAGTGACACATGCTGGCAGTTCCAGGGAAGAACACCGCTAGAGAGGTCACTTAAAAAAAATAAATAAAAAAAAGCCTTTGGCAACTATTAGCTTTCTGATAAATTATCTCATTAATGCAAACATGAAAAAAATTCTCTTTCCAGATCCTATCTCCCTTGGATCATAACTCTTCTGTATGTGAAACACAGCCTCTTGCCTGTTGCACTAGAAATCTGTTCGGATCCAAGCTACACTCCTGGCATGACACAAGACACCAACAATGAAGTTCCCCTATCTTGAAAGTGCAAGCTGAGGTGAAGATTTGCTTGTTTTTCCTCAGATGTTGAGCCACATTCCGTATTATGCTTAGTCATAGATTATAAGGAGCATTTAATCTTTCAGAGAAGAGACTTGCTTCTAAGGGCCAGTTTTCAGCTTTTTTTTTTTTTTTGCATTAAGATAGACTTGGAGTTTTTTTTCCTAAAAATATTGTTGATTCCAGCTTCATTTAACATATCAGTATGTTATTAAAGTGCAATTTAAAAACACACTGACAATGAGCAAGTGTATGGAATGTAAGCAATGCCAATATATTCAACAAGGTATTGAGAGTTATTTTACAGTATTTTATGAATTACAATATAAGAAAGTATAATAATTTTTAATAACCTCTAACAAAACTCCTAAATGTATTTTTGGAAGAGACAAGACTACTATTTTATTTCTATTCCCACTACAAACAAAGAAACAATCACAAGCACTAAAAGAGACCAAAACTCATTCATTGTTTCTCAGAAGCACCAAAAGGCCACTTTTCTTTGGCAAAAAAAAGGCTGGTCTTATTTCAAGCCGTCTGCCTCCCTCCTTCGGGGCACTTCATTTCAACATTTTGCTCGACTCACATAAAACTTTCATTGAGGTTTTGCTTAACTGGAACTGGGATATGTTTAGCGTTTCCCAAGTAAAGCAGTAGAGTGGGTGGTGCTATTATTCATCACCGCGCCCCACGACTCACAAAACATGCCATCTGCCATCCCCGTTCCTGCTGTACTTTAATTAAGCGTCTACCAGTCAAAGAAAAAAAATGGGGTGAGAGGAAAAAAAATTATGAAATAATGGGAGTGGGGCGGTAAAGAAGAGTGGAAGAAAATCGAGCAGGAAGGGAAGGTACGGGATCCCGAGGTCTCAAAGCAAGCAAACCTCTTGCGGTGGGGGGACCTGGGGAGACGCGCCCCGAGTGCGGCGCCGGAGCCCGACGGCCGCGGCCGGAGCTGCGGGGCCGGGGCGGCCGTACCTGTGAAGAGGAAGGCTTTGCTCCCGTTGTGCAGCCCCGGCACCTGGCGCACGCCCTCCGTGGAGCCTCCCAGCTGTAGCTCGGACAGCACGTCGATCTGCAGCGAGGGGTCCACGCCAAAGCCTGAAACTGACCAGAAAGTGCCGTCACCCACCCGCCGACACCGCAACTTCCCGAGCGCCCCCGCAGCACCTCCGCCGCTCTCCGCACCTGCGGCTGCCCAAGGGCCAGAGCATCGCCGCTGCGAAGCTCCGCCGGCCCCGCTCCCGGGTACTCTCCCGGCGGGTCCAGCATCCGCCTACCTGGCCCCAGGCAGAGGAGAAGGCAGAGCGTGCTCAAGCGGATGCCCGACTCCATGGTACAGCGATGCGCTCAGTCCATAGTCCCCGTCTCCGGCTGCTGCAAGCGAAAAGCCTCCGGGGCACGGGCTGGGTCCCTCCCCGCCTCTCACCGAGCGGCGCGGACCCCGCGCCGCCCCGCAGCGCGCATCACGGAGGGCGCCGCGCCGCCCCGCCGCCGGCCGGAGCACACAAAGGCGAGGGTGGGGGGCGTGCGGGCAGCGCAGCCCTCCGCCCGCGGGCAGACAATGGGGAAGCCCGGCG